ACCCAAATCTTTGACCACATTTACCTCTTTGATCTGAATGCCTTCGATATGATAAGCAGTTGGAATAATTTTAGATTTCCTAGTAAATTTGATGTGCACACATTTATCTACGTTCAATTTCATGCCGTTTGTTGCACACCAAGCCACTAAGGAGTCGATATTCCTTTGCACAAGTGCAGCATTCTCAAGTGAACTAACGGCTCTAGCCAATTTCAAGTCTTCAGCAAACATGTATGGTTTCGTAAATTTAAGACTAAGAGGGAGGTCATTAACGCAGATGTCGAATAATATTGGTGCGATGTGAGAACCTTGGGGCACACCTGAGGGGATGGGATGCAATTCTGATGCAAAGTCATTCACTACCACATAAAAAGCTCGACCAGTAAGATAAGACCTAAGCCATTTTAAAAGAGAACCATGAAAACCATAAATTGATAGTTTCTTTAGAACGATATCATAAGAAACTCTATCGAACGCCTTGCTGAAGTCCGTATAAATAACATCATTTTGTCTATTGCTATCTATCTGCTCAATTAATTCCTCAGTGAAGAGGACCAGATTAGAACAAGTTGATCTACCGTTCATAAAACCATGCTGGCAGGGTGATATGAACTTCAGAATGTGGTTTTGTATGTACGGACAGACAAGTGCTTCCAGTACTTTAGCTAAGGTAGATAAGATGGAGATTGGTCTGTAATTTGAGACTCTACAATTGTCACCATTTTTATGAATAGGCACAACTTTGGGAGTTTTCTATATAGTTGGAAATATACCTGTTTGAAGTGAAATGTTAAAAATTTTGTAAAGTGGTTTCAGAAGATTGTTCGCACACTTTGAAATGAATATTGGGTGAACATTATCGTAGCCTGCTCCTTTAGAAATGTCCACACTCTGTAGCTTTTCTAAAATTAAATTGTGATCTAATTTTAAGGAAGAAAAGCATTCACTGTTTTTGCTAATTATGTTGAGATTAGTGTCAAAGTGTTCGCTTGTATTACTTTTATTTATGATTTGAGAATTACAGTATATGGAAGTGAAATAAGAGGCCAAGAGACTGCAGATGTCCCTACCCTCTGTAAAATAAGCGGTACCGTCGGTCATAGACATAGGATAAGTACTAGAGCCCCCACGTTTGCTATTTATATATGACCATAAATATTTAGTTTTATCTGGATGCGATTCTCGACTTCCGCGTGATAGGATTTGTAGCAAGATTTCGTTAGGTTCCTACAACGTTCTGTAAGAAGACCATAAGAAATCAAGTCTAAGGGATTGTGATACTTTTTGTATTTTAGTCTGTACTTATTTTATATTTTATTATAATATAGTTTTTTGGTACATACTTTACGTATTTATTTATAATAAAATAAAAGTTTTATTTTTGAGTTTCTTTATATGGAGGCGAGAGGGCCACATCCGGCGAATTCACAACGGGCCTCTAACGGTATAGTTACGCCCCTGTTTGAAAACGTCTTCCAATTCAGCGGTGAATAATTTCAGGGGACTTCACCTTGTCTATATCTCTCTGCAGTTGAATAGGTTTCGTACTCTGGTTCTGTACTCGGATAGCCATCTTAGCCCTAACGTAAAAATACAATCAACTTTAACAGTCAACTTGGCACCGCCAAAGGGACTGATAGCACCGCTCAAATTTCGACGGAATTTATGTAGACCAAAGACCGAATAGGAACGTACTTTGTCTTGCGTATATGGACTATGAAAAATGATTACTTAATCCTATTTAAATATATAATCCGTGATAAAAAAAATTCTTGTAGAAAATACTTATTGCTCAATAAACTGTTCCAAAAATGTGAAAACTCCTGTGGGATGTCAGCTGAGGGGTGTACTTAGACTCTAACTGAGATAGAATTTCTTTCTTATGTCATTGTTTATTTGTTTAGCTTAATATTATTAGATTACTTCTATCCAATGTTTCTTCAAAAGGGCCATTAGAGTTATATACAACCTAAAACCGAGAGAGTCTCTTAGAGATAAAGTTAAAGAAATAAACATATTAACTTTCACCTCTCAGTATATTTACGAAAATTTTATGTATGTTCACAAAAACAAAGGTAGTTTTAATAGAAAAAAGTGATGTATGTTCTGCAAACACTAGGAACAAACACAAGCTAGTGATACCAGTTTTTTGGGGCAATGTATACGCTATTACAACATGGTCCCGGAAAGTGTACAGGCTCTCTCTATTACCAAGTTTAAATATTTTGTTAAGTTGAAACTGTATAAAAAGGGTTATTATAGTATAAATAAATACATGGTTGATAATAACCCCTGGGAATGAGGTGGTCGCTTCCAAGCTGTTTCTAAAATAAATTTTGTACTTATATAGTTTGTATAACCATTAATGTAAAATTTGCTTTAAAAAAGTCCTGCTAGGTTTCTGGCTGTTTCTTCCCAAGACAGAGGTTTTGTTTCGAACCAGTGGTAAAGTAAACAATGACTTTCAATAAGAATTACACATGTGATCTACATTGAATAAAAAATTATCCTATTCTATTCTATTCCTCCAATCCACGATTATTATACAATTTTTTTTTCATAATTAACCACTTTATAAAATTCAATTAAACTTACTAAACTTTGAAAATATATTTTCGGCAAATTTTGTAACAGTAATAAAAGTAATCAAATTACCAATCGTTCTGGTTAATTATCCGTTCGTGTTAAATGCTCTGTTTTTTAAGCAACTCAAAATAATGAATAATATTTAAGCAATTTTTTGTTTGTTGTAGTGATAAAAATAAATATTGTTACAACTAATTTAGGAAATAATTGATTTCTGGAAATAATAATGATTCTTACATTATTATTTCCAGAAATATATTTATATACATTTCTGAAAATGGTAATCATTTACACTGTAAATCTATAGTGGTATATACAACTACTATAGACATACATTGTAAATAATTAAGTATGTTTTTTTTATTTATTACCCATCATTATCATCATCATCATTACAACCCTTTACAAGTCCATTGCTGAACATGGGCTTCTCACAAGGAATGCCACAAAGCGCGGTCCTGAGCCACCTGCATCTATTAAGTTCCTGCATGTCTTACCAGGTCGACACTCCATCTAGTGGGGGGACGTCCTACACTTCGCCTGCCGGGACGAGGCTGCCATTCGAGCAACGGCCATGGCCGGCCCATTAACATTAAATGCAGCGCAAACCTTTGGTTTTGTTGCAGTGCTTGCGAACTCAACCATAACAACTAAACCTCAGCATGCATAAAAAAGTACAATAAAGTACCTATACTTATTCATAAAAATATGCGATCTTTCATATCCACAGGACTCACTAGAAACATCTTTTGTTTGATTTTTTATATATCTTTTTTCATTAATAGAGTTTTTTAAATACCATCGTTCATTCGGACCTCAAAGTGACGTTCTAAGAATGTCTGCCACCCCATAATATCTTCCCGTGGGTGCAGGAAGAGGCAACAGAGATACAAACATGGGCAGCAGCGTCTTTCTAATAACAACGTGGTAGAGCCATGCTGCAGCTATATTATGGTTGTAGCACGAATGGGTCGGCTCGACAGGGGAAGGACCACGCTCTCACAGAAAACCAGCGTAAAATAGCAGCTTAACGCTGCTGTGTTTCGTATGGTGAGTGTAGAGATCCGGAGACCCTTTTTACTGGCAAAGAGGCATTCCATCTTAGTCCTCACGGGTGACAACGCATCTGCATCTTGAGTCTTTATTGAGGATAGATGTAGATGTCTATGGGCCACAGCAACCACTTACCATCAGGTGGACTGTGTGCTCGTTTGTCAACCGATCCCATAAAAAAAAAACAACTTATAAGCCTATTAACGCTGGTGTTCCAAAAGGCTGCGTGCTAACACCCACGCTGTTACTTCTGCATATCAATCATGTGTTGCAAACCGGTAACATTCATTGCTATGCGGATGACAGCTCTGAAGTGATGTGGGGAGATTCTTAATAAATTACTCACCAATCACTTTTTATAAAAGTTTATTATAAGCAGAATAGTTAACACAATTAAATATTTCATATATGCTATAGTTCACAGCTACAATAATTCACGAATACAATTGTTCACAAATAGAATAGTTCACATATAAAATACTGTTTATAATTTAGCACAAAGCATAGCACAGAAGTTATTAGCATGAGAAGGAAGAAAAAGTTCAAAGCAAATAGCAAAAACAAACAATAGCCGGGCGCAAGCGTCATACGTCTTATCGTCACAGATTATTAATTTTTGATTGTTTATTTTTCTTTTTCAGATTAATGACGCCACATCACTCCCCCCCAGAGACCATCTATGATGGGCGATAATAATCAGGTAACTTAACTTTCTCATACTCTTCTTTTTTGTTTGTATGTGGTATTCGACATGCTGCAGCATCAGAGGGTGTATAGGCAGGTTTTATTCTATCTATTGAGACCGTTTGTTCTTTGCCTTTCATGAGTAATTTGTAAATCTTGTCTCCTCTTTCCAGCACTTTGAAGGGAGCGGAGTACGCTGGTTGCAGTGAACCTTTTACAGAGTCATCCCTGACATAAACGTGAGTCGCATTTGGTAAGTCTTTAAAGATAAATACTTTTTACTACCGTGACGTGTTCCAGGTGATGGACGAATATTGTTCATTATCAGCCTTAAGCGTGATAAGAAATCCGTTATGTCTGTGCTACTTTCGCTGTTGTTAGAATGCAGAAATTCTCCTGGTAACCTAAGTGATTCACCATAAAGTAACTCAGCGGGTGATGCTTGAAGGTCTTGTTTCAATGCATTTCTCATACCCAGTAATACTAATGGCAATGATTCTGTCCATCGTTGATTATTGTGACATACAATAGCGGCTTTCAGATGTCTGTGCATCCTTTCTACCATACCGTTGCACGCTGGGTGGTAAGATGTAGTTCACTTATGCTGAAATCCGATTAGATTGGATTGATGTTTAAATAAGGAACATTCGAATTGTCTTCCTCGATCTGTGATGATTTCAGGAGGACCCAAAACGCGAGATCCAGCCATTAAGAACTGCTTTTGCAACAGTTTCAGCAGTGATATCTGATAAGGGTATTGCCTCAGGCCATCTATTAAATCTATCAACTGCTGTAAGACAATAGCGATATCCATCTGATACAGGTAAAGGTCCAATGATGTCTATATGGACGTATTGGAATCTGGCAGGTGGTAATTTGTATGTGCCTAAAGGTGCGGAGACATGACGTGTTATTTTTGCACGCTGGCAGGGGTGACACGTTTTCGACCTTTCACGACAGTCTCTCTTTACTCCTGGCCAAACGTAGCGTTCTGTTATTATCTGTGTTGTAGCTTTGACCCCAGGATGGTTCAGCGAATGTAAACTGTCAAAGACTTGCTTCCTTAAGTTTTGAGGTACGTAAGGCCTTTGATTCCCAGTTCCATCATCACAATATAGGTCTGTCTTCGTGCCAGGTATTGATACCTTAACTAACCGAAATGATGTCCCACCTTTCAGAATTTCTTTCAGTTCCGTATCCACGTCCTGCATTTTGGCTAAGGTAACTAGATTAACAGGCTGAGCTAATTCTTCCACTCTTGAAAGCGTATCAGCCACTATGTTATCTTTTCCAGAGATGTGTTGGATGTCGGTGATGAACTGTGATATAAAATCGAGATGACGATCCTGGCGGGGTGAGCACTTATCTTTTCTGATGTGAAATGCATAACAGATTGGTTTGTGATCAGTAAAAACAGTAAAATGTCTTGCTTCAAGCATGTGTCTAAAGTATTTCACTGACTCGTATATAGTAAGAAGCTCTCTGTCGTATGGCGAGTATTTCTGTTGGGCTGGTTTCAGTTTCTTAGAGAAGAATGTAAGTGGCTGCCATGATCCATTCTTTACTTGCTGCAAGGCGGCACCGATTGCCTTATCTGAGGCGTCGGTTACCAAACCTAATCTTGCGTTTAGATCTGGATGTGCCAAGAATGCTGCTTGACAGAGGCTAGTTTTGCACTGCTCAAAAGCATGTAGGGCTTCTCCCGATATATCCACGGAACGTGATCCTTTTACGGACCCCGTCAACAAAGAGTTTAATGGTGCCTGAATTTCAGCAGCTCCTTTGATAAATCGGCGATAAAAGTTTAGCATCCCTAGAAAACGCCGAAGTTCTCGTACGGTTTTCGGAGTGGGGAAGTCTTTGATGGCTTGAACCTTACTGTCTAAAGGCTTAACACCGTTGGCTGAGACGTGATACCCTAGAAAGGTGATTTCTTTCTTACCAAATTCACATTTGCTCGTGTTGATAACCATACCGAATTCCTGAAGTTTTTCAAAGATTTGGCGAAGGTGATCAAGATGGCTGTCTTCGTCCTGGGAAAATATTAGAAAATCATCCAGGTACACGAAGCAAAAATCAAATCCTCGTGTTATCTCGTCTACAAACCTTTGAAAGGTTTGGCTCGCATTTTTTAAGCCATAATTCATGTATGGAAATTCGAACATACCAAATGGTGTGGTGATGGCTGTCTTCGGAATATTATCTGGGTTGACTGGTATCTGGCTGTACGGTTTCACCAAGTCTAGCGTAGAAAAAATTGTACAACCCGATATGTAATGGGTGAAGTCTTGTAAGTACCTGATGGGATATTTATCTGGAATTTTCTGTGCGTTTAACATTCTGTAATCGCCACATGGCCGTCATCCGTTATCTTTCTTTGGTACAAGATGGAGCGGAGAAGACCACGGGCTCTCAGATGGACGTGCTATTCCACTCTTTATCATTGCCTCGAATTCTTGCCTAGCTATTTTCAGTTTTTCTGGTGATAATCTTCTCGGATTGCAAGACACAGGTGGTCCTGGCTTAGTACGAATGAAGTGGACGGTACTGTGCTTAGGAGCTTGCGGTACACCTGACGGTCGGGTAATCTCCGGAAAGTCACGTAGTAATTCAACATACTTTGAATTACCTCTCATGGTTTTAACAGAAGCTATCACATTAGCTGTAGCAGGCTCAGCAGGTGTTTGCAACGAAGTACTATTAATCTATTAACCGACGGTTACGACAGTCGACAACGATATGGTAGAATGACAAAAAATCAATTCCGATGATTGCTTTGTTTACATCGGCTACTACAAAGCGCCATGAAAAATCTCGTCGAAGTCCCAGATTTAGTTCGAGATGAGCATAGCCGTAGGTGGGTATGGGAGTTCCATTTGCTGCAAAAAGTTCGTAAGATGTTCGAGGTCGTTGTTGTTTAAGTGCCGTGCGCGGGAAGACACAAAGGTCGCTTCCAGTGTCGACCAAGAATTGCATCTTCGTTCTGCGATCCGTGACAAACAGGCGACCGGATGAACTGAGGCAATCATTTGTCACCCTGCTGACTGCCCTGATCGTTTCCCTGTTGGTAATCACAAGGCTTAACGCACTTATTAGCCTTATCACCGAATTTATAATGATAGTAGCAAAATGGAAACCTTCTATAATTTGACTGAGACCGATTACGAGTATGACTGTGACTATGGTTGCGGTCTCGTTTATTGTCTCTATTTTGCGACCGTGATTTCCTTTCATTTCGGAAGGATAATGCTTGCACTTGACGAGTAAGTTCCGCGATCTGTTTCGACATTGTGTCAAGTAAAGATCCTGGTGCTGCATCCATTGAAGCTACGTGTGGAGATGCCAGAACAAGTTCGTGCACCTTATCGGCTAAGGCAGCCAGTGCGTCCAAAGTTGAGTCAGGCTGTGATGCAATTACGGTTTGAAAATTGTTTGGGAGGCGACTAGTCCATATTGTCCTAATAAAGTCATCTTGGACGTTAGGGCCCGCTAAATGTTGCAAATGTTGTAAAAATTGTGATGGACGCCTATCTCCAAGTTCCTCATGCATTAACAATTGCTTCACTTCTTTTTTCGAGATGCTGAGAGCCTCTTGATAAGTTCTCTTTTAAGTTTCTCGTATTTATCTTTTTGAGGTGGTGAAACTATAATGTCTTTGACTTCTGCCGCATATCTATGGTCTAATTGTGCAATTACATAATAATATTTTGTTTCGTCTTCTTTAATACCGGATAGTTCAAAATTCCCTTCTACTTGTGCGAACCACACAGCAGGCTCTTCAGCCCAAAACGGTGGCAGTCGGACACCGACACGACATATATCGGATGGTGTAAATGACCCTTCTTCGTTACGTGTTTCCCGTGATAATGATTGGGAGGGTTTAGCTTGTTTCTCTGCCATCTTATTTAGAATATTGTTATTTAAATGTTACTTTGGATTCTGCTTACGTTTGGGTTCTCGCAGTACAAAGTCCAAGCGGGGTCACCAGTGAAGTGATGTGGGGAGATTCTTAATAAATTACTCACCAATCACTTTTTATAAAAGTTTATTATAAGCAGAATAGTTCACAAAATTAAATATTTCATACATGCTATAGTTCACATCTACAATAATTCACGAATACAATTGTTCACAAATAGAATAGTTCACATATAAAATACTGTTTATAATTTAGCACAAAGCATAGCACAGAAGTTATTAGCATGAGAAGGAAGAAAAAGTTCAAAGCAAATAGCAAAAACAAACAATAGCCGGGCGCAAGCGTCATACGTCTTATCGTCACAGATTATTAATTTTTGATTGTTTATTTTTTTTTCAGATTAATGACGCCACAGCTCTATACACCGGCCGTGCCAATATTTTTCGGAAAAACTTTGCCGAGTACCGAACAAAACTTGTGTCTGAAATCCAGTCTTTGCTGAACAAAGTCTAAGAGTGGGGGCGATTAAATCTAGTCTAGTTCAATCCCCAGAAGACACAAGTTTGCGCGTTTACATCTAAAAGAACCCCTTTGTCGTATCTTCTCATTTTCAAGGCATTCCCCTTATTTCCTCATCCAGTATCGGAATCCTTGGCGTCGACATATCGAGTGAGCTGTAGTTTCAAGGTCACTTGGAAGAAAAGGCCAAATTCGCCGCTAAAAAGCTTGGTATGCTCAGCAGAGCCGAACAGTATTTCATGCCGGCACACCGCCTTCAACTTTAGAAGGCAAAGGTTCAGTCTTACATAGAATACTATTCCCATCTCCGAGCTGAGCCCCCCCCAGTGCCAGCTCCTTCCACTTAACTACATCCAGCGCAGAGCAGCTCGAACCGTCAACGACCGAGTCCTTTCAGATCGACTCGATTCACTTGCGCTGCGAAAATATGTTGCATCCCTTTGCATTTTCTTTCGCATCTACCGGCGATTTTTCTGGGCCGATATGACTTAGGGGCCTTCAAGAAAACAGTTTACTCCTTTCTAAAAGACCGGCAATGCACCTGCAATACCCCTGGTGTTGCAGTCATGACAACTATGGCAAATATGTCTATTCGGCAGTGGAAATTCCTTCCAGAATTTTTCTCTAAACCTCACGGAGTCAAAAAGAAATAACCAGCACTCTTGTTCCAATTTTATTAACACTGAAATCATTGATCATCGGTAATTGAGACTTTATTAACACATTGAAAACAATTGACATCAGTTAGAAACTAATATATAGCTCACTAATAATATAATGATAATAATACAGCAACCGTGTAGTGGCGATAAACCGTGTAGTAGCACTGTAAAAATATCCACTAATCCATAATTTCCCGTAGGAGTCGTCAAAGTCGACAGAGGGAATCAAACCACGAGATAGGTAGCAGCATCTTTTTGATAAGAACAAACCATAAACAAATGCTTGGTAGGCGTAGGTGGGGCTGTGATAGCCTACCCGACTACCAAGTATGGCAACAATGGGGGTATCCTCATGAATAACGGTACAAAGAGGCCGTCCTAATCCCCGGTAGCCCTGCTGTTCCATGATACGTTGGCAGTAATGATAAAAGGGGCTGGGAGTGCTAAGAATCTTCGGTGGATGTTCGGTGACCACATTACACGACTCGAGCTGGCAACATTTTACGTACGTACCGCGAGAATCGACAAGAACATCCTGAAGCTTGAACAATAGATAAACAAGTTGCGCTGGGATATTATAGGATTGTATGAGGACCGAAGAGAGGGGGTAGTCACATAGTTCTCGAATCCGGCAACTTGATCTGTCACCGGGAGGGTGACCATCTGTCCCAAAAAGGGTCGGACTAGGTTAGAAGGTATCGTCTCCAAGACTCTCGTTAAAATTGTGAAAATTGTGAGTGTGTCGACGAGGGTTGCGTACCTTATGCTCAGAATCACCAAATTGTATGCGGTGAAGGTCATACAAGTTTACGCACCAACCATGACATATATCAATGAGAAGGTGGAGGAACGTATGAGAATATCTCTAGAGACATGCATTCCTCTGGAAACCATTACATATAGTGGGATTCAGAGGAATGCAACATTGTAGTGTTAATTTCCATTAACAAAAGTTCCAATAACTCTCTTGTGCTAAAGTCTTCCGATTTTAGCACTTCATTGAGGAGGTAGGACTCTTCATAATGCACACTTTTTTAGAAATGAACATGGTTAAGCCCCGACGGTTCAACATTAAAATAAATTAATATTTCATATTTTCTTATATTTACGCGAAGACTACACATGAAATGAAACTAATTTTTACGGATTATATCGCGTTTAATTTTAACTCTATCGTGTATAGGGAAGTCTGCAGTTTGTGAACATGTTCAAATCGTCCCTGCCATTACATTAGATTTGATAGACCACAAATCCTTGCAAAAGAACAGCGATTCCTACCAAGGATGATTTGCGAGGCTATTGAAATTAAAAAAACATCCTAATTTCAATAGAGAAGATGGATGGGTGCTGCAATCTGCTTGGGATCCTATAATTAATAAAATTAAATACAAACCCAAGTATACCACTGCTAGACTTCAAGATACTGTAAGCTCGTTCTGTGTAAATCGAACCAAAAATTAATATTAATAAACTGAAGGTAGTTAGCCTAACTATGACATCAGGACGTCAAACACCTCAGTCCCCCCCGTGACCATAGGTGATGTAAAGCACACGAAACGTCGGAAATTAAAAAAAGTATAATCCGTAAAAATTAGTTTCATTTAATAGATTAATATTTGACAGCTCCGTGGCGCAGTGGCTTAGTAATGAGTTTATGCGCTAGGGGCCGCGGGTTCGAATCCCGCACGGAACAAGTATTTGTATGGCCTACAAATAATTGTTACGGGTCTGGATGTTTGTCCTCGTGCTATTTATGTTTGTAAACTGCCTCCACGACACAGGAGAAAATCGTGGGGGTAACGTTTAAAAAAACTTTTTAGTGATCGCGAAGATAATGTATACTGAATCTTAGAGTTGAGTTGGAGAAGAATAAAGTTAACGCTCCGTTCTCATCATACTCTGATCCAAATACACGAAAACTTTCAGCCCAAATTAGTTACATTTTCAGTGCCTGAATATTGCAATATATTTAACGATAAAAACGACAAGCTCTTGGAAAGTGTCTATGCTTTGGAGCTAAATTCTGCAAGACTCGTCGCAAAAGAACTCAAAAACTCTCTGATCACATACTTAATCTCATTGCTGTAAGACGAGAAATCAAGTGGCAATCTTCAGCAGATGTAGCAGCATACAGGTGACTGCATAAAATGATCTCCTAAATGCATGCTGCGATACCTACACAATTTTTAAATAGCTCGTATTAAAGAAGCAATTAAGCGGAACCTCCAAAGTCTTTGTA